GACGGAGTTTTGGACCCAGATTACTCCACGAAGCTCCTCACTACGGCAGCCGTAATGCTCTGACGATCCATCAAGCAGTGCAGCTTACCAAAGTTGTACTAAAACAGCACTTTCAGAAAGACATCTGCTGTGTTCAAATGTATTCCTATTGTAAACTCTACCTGTGTGGGCGGGCCCAGGACTGAGGAGAATCATCTCAGGTGTTCCTGGTGTGTTTTTCCTTTTCTCTTTTTTATTCTGCACCTTCATGAAGGTAAAGTTTCACATCTGAATCTCCTGTCTGTGGTTCCAGCCGTGGTCGTGGCGATGAGCAGTAACGAGTGTTTCGGTTGCGGGCGCTCAGGCCACTGGGTGAAGAACTGTCCGAGTGGCGGCCGAGGGCGAGGGAAAGGTCGCAGCAGAGGCAAAGGTGACACCCATCATCAAACCTCCACGAGTTTATTTTAAAGTTGATTAAAAACCCTGTAGTTTTTACAGATGTCGCCATGGAGACGTGGAAACCTGCGTCCATTTCCAGCTTCTGCATTGGTGCTGTTATTGTGAACAGCTGACTACGTGACACGCCCGGCGGTTCACCCTGTCGTGTCGTTGCAGACCTGTTCTGTTACCGATGTGGCGAACTTGGGCACGTGGCCAGAGACTGCGAGCGCACGGAGGACGGTGAGGACACACGCTTACAGATCACAACAGTTTAAAGACAGGTGAGCACAGGTGTGATCTTTCCTGCAGCCTGCTACAACTGCGGCAGAGGAGGTCACATCTCCAGAGACTGCAAGGAGCCCAAGAAGGAGCGCGAGCAGCTGTGCTACAACTGCGGCAAGGCCGGTCACATGGCGCGCGATTGTAACCACGCCCACGAGCAAAAGTGCTACTCCTGCGGCAGCTTTGGACACATCCAGAAGTGCTGTGAGAAGGTCAAGTGCTACAGGTAAACGAATACTAAAGCTGAGCCTACAAACAGGTGAACGGCCCAGCGTAACCTGTCCGTGTGCTCTGCAGGTGCGGGGAGATCGGCCATGTTGCGGTGCACTGCAGCAAGGCGTCCGAGTTGAACTGCTATAACTGTGGGAAGTCAGGTCACCTGGCGAAAGAGTGCACCATCGAAGCCACCCCCTAGCTGGCCTCTGACCCCTGACCCTACGCTCCCAAACCTACGCCCTCTGATCCTCCTCTTGTCATTGGTCTAGAGGCCTGTCGGTCAGCCTCGTAACAGCCAGTCAGAGCAGACGAGGGAGGAGGGGGCGGACTACAAAACCCATTTGTTCTTCTGTGTTTTAGTTTAGCTGTGTTACGATGTACAGAGCTTTTTTAGACCTGAGAGAGTGACGTTTGAAGGCCAAATTAGGCCCCTCCCCTCTGCCCTTTGGGTGGGGCTAACAGAGCCATGGAAGTTTGTATCTTGCCAACTTCATTTTTGTTTTTGGACCATATAAAATGATTGTCCCCACCTCCAGCAATCACCCAATGATATCGCAGGATGAACGAGCCAATCAGGACAGGTCGCAGCAGATGTTTTACAGGTGCGTTTTTGTGCAGGTCGAGGAATCGTACGCCAAGAAAAAAAGCCGCAGGAAGTCTGGACAAAACCTCCAGAAAATCTTATTTTTGTACATTTGACCTGTGAGCTGTTGTAAAGGTGTATGTTCTACCTGACAATAAAAAGGTAAGAAGGATGAGGGCGGAGCCTGCGGTGGCTGTCTTATTTCTTCAGACAGGCACCACTCACCCACAGGAGACGAACCGACCAATCAGATCAGAGGAAACGAGCTCCAGAGCTCACCTGAAAGCCTCATGGTTTAATTAACATCTGCAGCAGCTGGACAGAGCGATCCCTGACGACCTGCTTAGTTCCTCGCGGTCAGACACCTCCAGAATCTTCTCCTCCTCTCATCATAATAATAATGGATTGCATTTAAATAGCGCCAAATCTGACCATCACCAGTAGGTGAAGTGTCTTGCCCAAGGACACAACGACCGAGACTGTCCGAGCCGGAGCTCGAACCGGCAACCTTCCGATTACAAGACAAACTGCCAGCTCTTGAGCCACGATCGCCCCAGTGTAGTAACAGTCATCAACTACACTGATTACATCGAATGAACGACTGACTCAGTTTTATTAAGGACAGGAAGTTTGATCTGCGTGAAAGAATAAAGTCGCTGTGGAAATAAAACATAAATAAACACAATGAATCTTTAAAGGTTTAATACAGGTTGTACATGAACATGTCATTCACTGCTGATGTACAACAATACATCCCAGCGTTAACCTCTGACCTCTGTGGTGTTCATGACCAGACTTCTCACCAGTGGCGGTCCTAGCCTGTTTGGCGCCCTGGGCGAACACTCCCTCTGGTACATTAACATAAAGCTGTTGTACACACACACACACACACATGCATAGTATGCAAACAGCTACCAAACAGCCATCATAATTCGTCATACAATGAGAACAGGACAAATCAACAATTAACAATGACTAATTAATATTAAAATCTGTAACATAATGTATTGTTTGGAGTTTAGTCTGTTACTGTTGCTATTTTTACCATTTCTTCTTGGAGCAACTGTAACCCACATTATTTCCTTAGGGATTAATAAAGTATTCTGACTCTGATTGGTTCAGGATGACCTGCCATTATCCAATCACACATCTGCTTACCTGCATCTTTTGCTCGTTTCTCCTCCTCTTCTTTTCTCTTTTTTCTAAACTGAGCACCTGATGGCTTTGACCTTTTCTTGTCAATCTTCCATTGGTTTTAATTTTGCACTCCAGTATAAACACCCATCCCCCAACTCGAGGATCACCACAACATAACCTAACACACCTACACCTTAGTTCACAGATTCACTTTGTCTAAGGTTTATTTCTGAGATTTCACACAACCCAGGATTCAAATCATGAATACATGATGGGCTTGGATTTAAAACATTATGAATGAAATGTGCTCTACTTGGAAGCAGCAGGCCCCTCCCCTTTCGACGGCTTGTGTGTGAGACTTTAAATCATCAAACTGTAAATTATAAATTGTTATTGATCCCTTTACCCCGAGTCCTAAAGTGTATATTTATTTTCTTACTCCTTTTATATTTATTGTTTGTTTACTTGCACTGCTGTAACTGGAGCCTCGTCGTCTCGTCTCTCTATATACTGGACTGTATGTAGCGGAGATGACAATAAAGTTTACTTTGACTTCAGCAGCGAGCAGGCGCACCGAGGGCTCTCGCGCTCACTTTTCGCGTATAGAATTTCGAAAAAAACATCGGTGCAAATTATGTCTGTATCATGATGTCTGGTGTTTTCGTGTTTGTTGGTTTGTTTTTATTTGTTTTATTTTGTTAGTTGGTTATTAGATGCTGCTCCAGTGAATCCCCCGCCGCCCCGCCCTCTCCTCTCTGCGCCGCAAGCAGCAGGCGCACCTCGCAAACGGGTGGCGCCCTTACTCCCAGCAAATGGGCGATAGAAAACCGATCGGTGCCTATGCCGTTCCCAATATGCGCTGGCTGACGTCGGGGCAGCATGAGTGCGAGCATTTTTTTTTCTTTTTTGCCGATGCCCGTGATGCCGCGGGCAACAGCCTGTGTCGCCCGTATCTAAAACCGCTACTGCTTCTCACTTACCTGGGCCAGGGGTCTCAAACTCGTGGCCACTCGCAGCCCATGTCACCCCTACTTATATATTGATATGAGGAAATCTAATGTAATTCTTCTGTTTGTTGTTGAGCTAAATGTTAAAACAAGTTCTTTCTGAGCAGAGACACCAACATGCTGAGGCTGTGCAGAGTCACACTGCAGGTGTTACATACGAACACACACAGCAGTGCTCTGACGTGTGTGCAGGACCAGTGTGTTTGTTTGCTCGCTCAGTGAAAGGCTTCAGTTTTGTCTTCTTATACAATATTTGACATTTAAAACAACAAACAAAACATTTTAGGAAATATTTGTGGGGGTTAGTGACCGTCCAATCAGATCTCACACAGCTCGTATAAGTTAGAGAGTTCAGCGTGCACATCCGTCATACAGGAGATGAATATTGATGCTCTACGCTTTCACATTAACTATTTTATTTCCTACATTTGTGTGAACATTTTTATTTTATCTTACATGTCGTTGTAGGCGGGCCTCTCGTCCTGCAGGGGGCAGTAGTGCAGACATAAAACCGGATGCAGTGGTGGAGCCGGTGACGTGTTTCCTGTTAGTGTGCGTGCTGTGTTCGTGTGTGTTTGGATGGTTCCTGCTCGGTTGTTGGATTAACGGCTAAACTCCGCAGCAGACATGGTGAGAGTCAGCATTTTAATCTGTTGTGTTCACTGACGTCACAGCCCGTTAATCAATATTCATTATTAATCAGTGATCAGGAAGCGCTCAGCGGGCTCTGTGAGGAGCCGCTCCTCCGACTCCAAACCCTGTTAAACACTCGGAGTTAAAAACAGCAGATTTTTGAATGGAGTCTGGTGGAGCAGCTGAAACATGGAGACGACTGAGCAACCAAAGCAGACCGTGATCAGCTGGTGTATCGATCAGCTGGCTGTATTGAACATTGATGCTCACTTCACCTACCGCCTACTGGTG